ACATTTTCGTTTTCATGTAAGTTCGGGCGTAAAGAAGATTTGCTGTCAGAAGAAAAGGAGATAGAGGGTTGTTGAAGAAGAAGAAGGGAATTACCAGAGTCATGTAAGGTGAGCTCCAGGCAGTAATTAGACATTGCTGTATCAGCTGTCTTATCTATATTGGGGGGCGAAACCTGTGGAGAGTGGTGAGCATTTGTAGTATGTTTGAGGTCATGTTGTGAACCTGTATAAAAAATGGTAATGTCGTTTCAGCAAAACTGCTGATCGCTGGATAGTCAGCCCTGTCGGGTGTAGGCATGTAAATAGGTGGAGGTGGCCTACCAAGCAAGCTCAGCTTATTCGAATTGTTGCGATTTACGTCACCACTATTCGACGTCCTATAGTTAAGTGTATCAATCTTTTGGTTTATGGCGGTGCGAGGGTTTACTTTTTTGGACAGGTAGCTACGAGGTTCGGGTTCTGTTTTGCGGTTTTTGTACCTATTGGTTTTGTGGATATTTGTTTCTCGAGAGAGGTGTGGTATCGAGCTGTGACCATGTGAATTAGTGTGTGCCACTAGTCTCTTATTCTGCGTTGTCTGTGTAGACGAACTGGTAGCCGCATTCTTTAACTTACTGGAATTGAGACTACTTGGATTGGTGAATACTGGGTGCGATGTACTGCAGTTTGTCACCGGGGTACAAGGATCGTTATCAGAGGAATCTAGATCTACCATCGATTTCTTTCTTAGTGTACGGGTATACACTGAACTATTTTTGGACCTTACATTTTCACGCAAGTTCGTTTCCGAATACGGTGTACTTTGTATAGAAAGATCCACACCCTTTTGCTCTGCCTCAACAGAAGTGTGGGTGCCCAGGGGTGTTCTAGAGGAGCTAGGATTTACAGTTTTCGAATCGGTCATATAAGTCATTCTTTGGATCGGTGTCTTGTCACGAGCTAATTTAATCGTAAGGTAACGTGTATTTTTCAGTAGTGTTTGCCCACTGTAAAAGATGTCAGCATTAGAGGACGAGTCAAATTTCAACACAAGTGGGCAAGATTTATTTTCGTGAGACTTTCTAAGTCGATGGCAGCTGCACGAGACATTATTCATAGAGCACGCATTCAGAATAGTGCTTTTGACCTTGTTAATCTGTGCATTATCCGGTATATTATACACGATTATGTTCTTCTCGCGCACTACACGTTGATATACTTCAGTTGCAACGTAATTTATCAGGTTTGCGGTTTGTAGTAAATTACTAGGTGAAGTACTATTACTGCCGGTTTCACTAGGAACTGCCAGTTTTGATATCTTAACTTCAAGCCCCCTAATAATGGAAAATAATTCTGGATTAGTGCTAGGAGTCAAGATGTTTGCCGTGTGATTCATTTCGCAAGACGTTTTGCAGGTGTCTACGAGGCCTGGATCATTGCATGTAGTATCACTATGTATACCATCCATGATGTTGTTTAATACGCAAGCAGGTAAGGGGAGTTCAACGTCCGGACTTAACGTATCTACTGCAGCAGACCTGTGTTTAGTTGTTAAATCACTGGATGTAGTCTTCACACTTCCTGCAGGCCTATTCATTCTATTCGGTTTGTGTTATTTACTGGGATTTGAAGCAGACAGTGGAGTTTGACGCTTAGTTTGAACCATTGGCATTTAGAAAAGAGTTAAACTTCTTAAATATAAGAGAATGAGCAGTGTCGGTAAGGTCCTTTTTAGGGTGTTGGAGATTTAGATTGTTTAGTTCGGTACGCAATTAGCAGTTTATGTGGATAAAAATACTGAAATATATTATGAAGACACGCTTAACAAATACTATAAATGCAAAGATGCGATAACAGAAGCACTTAAGTAGACACTAGCTATAATGGACAATTACAGCCGGAAAAGTTATCTTTAATGAAAAAATAGGACTAAATATTTAGTACTATCCTCGAGAGACCTATTGAAAAGCCGCCTATAGAGTAAAAAAAGAACTGAGGAATAACACGCGAGAAAGTAACAAAGTCTTCGGATTGCCGCGTATGTCGCGTTAAAATTAGTATTAGCTCACACACAATATAAAAGTTAGCATAACAGGACTAGTTAGTGTGCCAAAACAATCATAGTTACTACAGAGAATATATATTCATGAATCACTCCTTGAGGACTCCACTTGCTTTCTTTTCTGCTGATGTCGTTTGTGTTCATTTTACTCTCACCATTTTGGCTTCTATATAACTTTTTGAATGAGAATAAAGAATGTAGATATCCGACCACTTACAATGACAAATGATCTGCAGACATTACTGGTCTCACATCCTATAACTGCCTCGTGAATTACTCATTACCTACTTTCGCGATGCATCCTGGATAACAGTTATGAAATATACCTTATTACTAATAAAAAAATCCCAGTAACTATCATTTCGGCGCAAATAAATCTGGTTATTTAAGAAATAATGAACACATGCCGATGGTTGCATATGAAATCTCACTGATTCGCGTGATGATAATTTTCAACAAACCGGTGCAATGCAAAAGTCAGGGGGGACAGAAGGTCATTCCAGGCTAACCTTGCTAAAAAACTCCTGGCAAACCCGAAGAATTTGTACCGATTCATGTCGGAAAGGAAACCAACCAACCAAGGGGCTTGCGCCTTAGTAGGCCAAAACGGTCAATATCTCACTAGTCTGGAGATGGCTGAAACATTCAGTTTAGCCTTCGCCAAACAGCTAAACAGCAATGTGGGTATTACCGTTACGAACCAAAATGGTGGCATGACTATTTCACAGGAGGAAGACCAAATAGCCACCCCCCAAATAAACCCTGCAATAGTACTGAGAAAGCTGCAGCGACTCATACCTGGGAAGTCCCCAGGTTGTGATGACATCAGGCCATCTGTTCTGAAACAGTGCGCCGAAGCTCTCTGTAGGCCTTTATGCGACTTGTTCCAACACTCCATGGAATCGGGGAAGCTGCCAAAGGAATGGAAAAGAAGTATCCTTTCTCCGATCTTCAAGGGTGGGGATAGGCAAAATCCCACCAGTTATAGACCAGTAGCTCTACTCCCAGTGGTATCGAAAGTACTGGAAAGTATTATTGATGATCACATCAGGGAATATCTGGATAGGTCTAAAATACTCCATGAAGCCCAACACGGTTTCAGGGAAGGGAGATCCTGCGTCACTAACTTATTACCAGCTTGGGACGACTGGACATCATGCTGGGATATGAATGTTCCTGTCCATGTGATCTTTCTAGACTTTGAGAAGGCATTTGACACTGTTCACCATGACCTCCTACGCAAAATAAGCCAGGTAGGTCTAGGTAAACCACTTCTGTCATGGTTGAATGACTACCTAAATGAAAGGCAATTTTGCACCAAGGTCAATCGAGTTCGATCATCTTGGCACAGCTCGTCATCAGGAGTGTCGCAGGGTTCTATCCTGGGACCACTGATGTTCTTGATTTTTATCAATGATTTACCATGCCGTCTAAGCTGCCCGACTCTTCTATACGCTGATGACGTAAAGATATGGAGGGCGATAAAGTGTCCGGAGGACTCAGATAGACTGCAGACAGATCTAAGGCTTCTGGAAGACTGGGCGGTAGCCAGTGGCATGACTTTCAACCTGAAAAAGTGCAAAGTAGTGAAGTTACGCACCTGTAGACTGCAGAATGCAAGTTACACCCTGTGCAATGAAAGCTTGTCCTGCTCAACGTCGGAACGTGACTTAGGTCTAGTTCTAACGGAGAAAATGGACACAAGCCTAAATTACACGGGGGATGTAGCGAGGGCATATGCGGTCATACACTTTACACGTAGACAGTTAGGTGCACTGACTCCTGAGCTCTTCCTAAGGTTGTATAAAACATACGTCAGACCGCATCTTGAAGTGCATAATATCATTGCACCCCCACTGCTTAAAAGAGACGCCAACCTCTTGGAAAGAGTTCAACGACGGGCAACAAAAGGAGTGGTTGGTCTCCGAAATAAACCATATGACGAAAGGCTGAAGAAATTAGGCCTATTCACACTCAGTTACCGTCGCCTGAGGGGGGATTTAATTACTGCCTACAAAATAACAAATGATCAGAATCACCCAAACAAAGGTGTTCTGCCATTGAGTAGGTATAGGCTTCCTCGTGGAAACCTTAGAAGGATAGCTCATCAGAGGGCAAGGACCCGGGTGCGCTCCCACTTCTTTTCCCTGCGGGTTTGCCGTCCCTGGAATTCCTTGCCGGCAGATGTAGCTATGGCACCATCTGTGGACGCCTTTAAGCGAAGGCTGGACAACCATGCAGCGACACAAGGACTGCATCCAAATGGCCTATCCCCTTAAAATAGCATATACCATTCAAAGGTAGACAATTAAACTGGTCGTTTTACTTCTTCACATTCCCTTCAGTCTTACTCTCCTGACAGCTTTAACTACACCTATTATTATTATTATTACTGGCATATATATATATATGTATACCGGTTGACTGACTGTTGTTACGTTTTCTTATCCTTCCTCTGTCTGTTAGTCTGAATAACCTACACTAATTATATCTACTATTATTATTATTATCTCTTTTCCATTGACGACGATACCGAAGGGCCAACTGGTGAAAGGATCAACTCCATTCACAGTAGTAACAGTCTTAACACACTTCATACTACAAATCCCATATAATTAACCCCAGCACTACTCCTGTTGGAGTCAACCAAAGCTACGACAGTCGAGTGGCGGGACGAGCCACACAGACGTTTGCCGAAGATCAGGAACCTCTACCTCACAATCAAGAGGCGAGCACAAAGAAATCGAATTGGTTTATACTAGCTCGTAAAAACGATATTGGATATTGGAAAACCTGGATTTAAAAAGCAATGTGAGAAACTTCACTATGTACTCAATATTTTCTGCACTATAGTTCACCAGGGATGAGAAATAGTTCCAAGACACGTTGAATAAAGGGATAAGTAATCAACAGGCATTTACATGTTCACGACAACGATATTGGATATCGGAAGGAGGGTATTCCACAGACTACGTTACTCTTTTTTTGGTAGGTTTCTCGAGGCTGTGACCTTAATTAGCTTTGGGCGGGTGTGATTTTTAGTAGTGACACTGGTACAGAGCACTTTTTTTAGAATATGTAGGTGATAGTGGAACATGAGTTTAATGAAAAGAAATGAATAATAATCAACTATATTAATGCAGTTCTATAGAACTAGCATTGACTTCGGGCACATTGCAGAATGCAATTACTTAAAATTAAGTAATATGTAACTGTGGTCTTAAAACCAGGCTACATATTTGAAGGGCACCGTTTTGTTCATTCATACATGAATAATAAAATATTAGTTTACTAATATTTTGGTTTGTAAATACAAGGAAAATGTTGACTGCTTACAGGCAGTTAAAAATGTTCCCTGCATTGATTTGAAAACGGAATTTGATTAACCTCTACACGGTGCTAAGTTGCGAATACGATGTCCTTTTTAAGTTTCAGCCAGTACAGCAACCCAATCAGAGAATGCATATGGGTAAAGTGTGTGTGTTTGGGGTGTGGGGGTGAAATGTGGGTAAAATGTGCAATTTCTATCGATTGATACATGGGCCAAAGGTGGGTAAAGTACAAATGAAATACCCACATATTCCAACTTTAGCCCACGCTTTTGTAAAAAAACCTCACATTTTGTCACGTTAACAATGTCATCTTCAGAGATACCCCACTTATCTGAAATGTTTCCTGCTTAACCCATGTCCACGATAAAACTCTCCAACTGGTAATGTAATCCATCTTACCACTAAGTTGTACTGCCTGATATTAGCACGGAAATGGGTATTTTTCTAATTAAAATTTCGATTTCTTAAATTAACTCCAGTCTCATTACTCATTGTTCTGTCGTCTTAAATACCCAAATTTGAAGCTACTTAGAGTTCTAAGATATTGCTTTTTTGACGTTAGTGTATGCAATCCCACATCGTTATTAATTTTTACGCAATATATCGTCCCTTATACTTAGATGCAAAATCATACTTCGGTTATGCAGGGGGACATTTGCAGTGAAACATTATTTATGAAGTATCACAATCGACAGCTAGTTACAGTTACACTGAGAGAATCGAAATGCAACTGCTGTTACTCAGAGTAAACAAGGTTACTTCTGTCCATCGAATTTTTTTCGAACGAACTCAAACATTCTTGTGAAAAAAGTACTAAGATTAATAGGCCTTAACGTCTCTTTTTTAAATGCTGTATGAGGAATCTTTGATACTTTTTGTTTATCTTTTTGTTTTCAGCTTTTCTATCAGATCTTGTATCAAGTCGTCATTTAATACATGGCTTCAGATGAAGCTTCAGTCGAAGCACTAACCACACTCTTGACAGAATTCCATTGCCCTTCAACTAGTCAAACACGACGACAGGATATACGGCGTCTATTGACAGATTTTGAAAACTCTCCCAATTCCTGGTATCATGCTATGTACTACTTAGATGTAGCGAAGGACAATCAGTATGTTGTCCTCTTTTGTTTAGGCGTTATTGAGACAACTATTGTTCATCAGTGGCCATTTCTATTGCAAGATCACAAATTAAAAGTACGCACGTTTATACAAAACTATCTTAGCCAAGCTTGTTCAAATGAATGTAGTCTTTTGTTAAAGAAAGCAGCTAAATTATTGTCATTAATTGCTTGCTTTGACTGGCCTGACCAGTACCCTGATTATACTGATTTTTTGAAAAACCAGATATTTAATGATGCTGTTAGCAACTTACTTTCCATCAGAACAACATTAATGGGACTTTATTGTCTAAAGTCCATGTATGATTCATTTTTGAATCCTCCAGAAGTGATTGATTATTCAAGAAAAAATGAACTTCAGCAATTTTTATGCAAAGAAACGGGTACATTATGTGGACTCTTGTGTTCACTTATGTCACGCTTATGTGATGATGATAGTAAAAATTTGCTTAATGCACCTCAGTCTTATTTGCTGGAAGAAATTTCCCGTTCAAATCAGGATATTCAAAATTCTCTGTGGCTACCACTTCTTAAACTTTTGCAATCTTTAGCCAGTGATTGTCTAACAAACTCTGGAACTAAGTGTCATGCATTAATAACATGTTTTGAGTGTTTATGTGATATGCTGAAAATTCTTCCTAGTCAACCTATTTCCATAGGGGAAATCTTGGTTTCAATACTTATTTTCTCATTGGTGGGTTCTCCACAGTGTTTATCAGCATGTGCTGAAGTGGAAGAAGCTCTTGCTTTATCGTCTCAGGACTGTGATCTTCTCAGAATGATTGGTTTAACTGCCTTATCATGTCTACATGAGTTAGTCGAAAAGAGGAATGTCGACAGTTTAATGACAAATCAATCTGGTTTTATCTTTCAGCTTATCAGTTGTCATTTTAACTTAGCCAGTGGTCGTATTACGCTCAAGAAGGTCTCCAATTCTGTTTCTCAAAGAACGCAAAATAATGACCCTACTAGTAATAATCGTCATGATATTTTTTGTTCGCTTGCAATGGACAGACAAAAACAAATTGGATGCGATGATTATGAAATGAAACTGGTAGAAATAATTCGATGTATACTGCCGAGCTGTTTGAAATTTGTATGTGTAAGCAATAGTTTGGCAAATAGTTTTTCAGTAAATGATCCTATAACACTTATGAAGGCATTTTATGAGTACACTTTCTTTACTGCAAATCTTGAAACATATCTATCTTGCATTAATATATGGTCTAATTTGTTCGAATCTCTTCAGTTTTATGCACACCAGAGGTCTGAATTACTATCCTCCGATTCAGCTATACACAAAGTACTCATGGAATTCGGCAATGCATTATTCTCTCGTTTGTTTTACTGTGAATCAGCAGCTTATCTAAACAATTTGGAGTATGATATCTTTGAAAATGAAACGCCGCTTACTTCATATAGTAGTAAGGATGGAAGTAGTTTGTTAGGTATTGTTTTTCCAGAAGAAGTAGCTGCAACTAAGTCACAGACCAACGAGCCATGTGAATATATGGTGTTCATTCGTGAAAGCTTGTCAGCATTTCGTAACTTAGTGGACTTACTACCGCATGACTTTACTATGCTTCTTTTTCAACGATTTCAGTCCATTTTAAATGAATACACATCACTAGTAAATGCTAGTGGTCTTTTGTCGGGAGTATTTAATTTTCCTAAAGGTCAGCCACCACATCGCATATACTGGATTTTAAGAGATTTTGCTTCAGTAGTCCAAGTGGTTGGTTTTATGTCTGAAAAATTCCATTGTGAAAAATATCAGGAATATGGCCAACAGATTTTACGTGCACTTCTGTACAGTTTACGCTTGAATAGTGTTATCTTTCCTGTCCTTCCTCACATTAATGAACAGCTGATGCGGTTCAGTTTTGTTGAAGCAACTGTCCAGGTACTGCTTGCATGGCAGGCTTTAATTGTTTCTGGATCAGTCGGTTTTGCAACACAATATGATAGTAGTTTGTCATTTGACAAGATTTACCTCCCATCTACTGACCGTGAGCAATTCTACACAGAACTCATGGAGACTTTCCAGTGTTTTCTTTTGCCACCTAAAGACGCTTCTGATTTGCGTCCCTCTTTAATCTCTTCAAGAATTATGTACAGTTGTGCTGAATTATTTAAATGCTTATTTACATCCTCATTTCGTGATATACACCCACCAACCTCGATTATGTTAGATATAAATTCCAGAAGTTTTGCCATAGTCAGTAATATTTTCGAAGCTGTTTGTAAACAGAATTGCCAAACACCAACTGAATATAACATTTTCAGTCCTCTAATATCCGCATTTTTATGTTATCTGACTTCAGAAGATGCTACAATACCTCATTTATGTAGCCATAATGGTAGTGCTAATGATGAAGGGGTTAAATTGACCTCAACACGAAATTCTCTACTTAATCGTTTATTTTTGGAATTCTTTTTACCACATTTAAATCAAGACAATTTTGAGTTGAATCTAAAGCAACACATCACGTGTTTAAGTTTGCTCAATAACGCTATATTAGCATTAGAAAATTCTGGAAATTCTGCACGTCAAATTGTCTATAATTCGTTAATAAGCTCAGGTTTAATGGACAATCTATTCAGTTGTTTACTAAATAAAATTCTAATTGATACTTCTTCGTCTTGTCAAGTCCAGATAAGTTCAGAAATGAAAGTCAGACTTTGTACAGCTTATTTAATTTTTTTGTCCACATTTATTCGTATCTTATCTTTTTCCGATGGATCTTTATCATCTATTCCCCATTTAATTGGTGAAATTATTCGTTCATTACATAAATCATCGGCTGGGTCTAATTCATTTTCAATCACTTTCATTGGTCCAATAGTGGATATATTATTACTAATAACTCATCACAAGGTGTTTGCATCTATTCTACAAGATACAATAGAATTGTGCCTTTGTGTTTTTCTACCGCTTTTGTCAACGATTCCAAACTCAGTATTTACTGACAATGAACAAGAAATAAATCAATTAGTATGTAGTGCTTGTGCAAATAACAGTCAACTGATGCAACAGTTTTTTGAGTTGATATTTAAAATTCTGTCGAATAATTTCTCATTCTTTTTTATTCGTAAACCTATAAATAGTATTACTGAAACAACTTCATCAACTTTGCTTACACCAGTTACACAGCGTTATGCTTTAAAATGTCCCGATTTATTTAATCGTCTCATGCATGTTATCTTTGCTGTATTTCACCCAGAACAAGTGGATTCCAGTGTGATTAGATTTGTTGTTGAAAAATTAATTTGTTTGAATACATCACATAAACTTTTTGATATATATGATTTTAATAAATCATGGCTTTCTATGCTTACAAGTTCTGTATTAAATCTGATAATAAATGATAAACATAACTCATCTCGAGATACTTTGATTAACAGTTTATACCAGTTTACCTTATCTTTTACACAACTCTCTTGTTCTTATAACTCAGCTGATACTAGTTATCATCATTCCAATGGTTTTTCTTACTTTGTACAAAACTTTCTTCCCACATACTTGAATACAATACAAAGCTTAGATGACAATCAACGTGCATCTATTTTATCTTGTTTCTATGATACAAACGAAAATGGATTTTATTCCAAAGATAAATTGAAACGTGAATTGAACGACATCAGTGTATTTAATCAGTGTATAGAACTAATGATCTACAATATACGCTACTACCGTACAATTAATTTGGCAATGACATCCGTTTCACTGGCAAATTCTTATACATAGACCGTAAATTCTTATAACAGGTAAGTGATTATTTCTCTAAGGACATTTAGTTTGTTAGTGTTTTAAGATAAAACAGGCGAATGGAAAACTTGGTTAGCTGAGTGAAAAGAAATCCATGTCGTCTTAGTTATAGTTTGAGTAACGTTCTTGTTACAAGTCTATTTCGCCTGTAAATGACTTACATTTTTTGAAAATCTCCATTGACTATGTAGGACAATAAACCTCATGCTTTGTCTTCAAGCTGCACAATTATAATTTCGTGTATACCAATTTCTAATAACTGATATGAAGCCCACAAGAAATTGTTAGTTGAAGTAACTTGTATTGCACGTAAGTGAAACCGAATTACATGGAACAAATGTGTCACTAAGAAGAGGGAAATAAGCAAAGGCAGTGTGTGCGTCGGTGGCACAGTGGTCAGGACTCTCGCCGACCATGCACATAGTCCGGGGTTCGATCCGCGGCCGATGCACACCTGGTATCAATGGTTGGTCTGCAAAATTTGGGCTACCGATATCACATGCTGAAAATTCTATACTTCTGCCATAAATACGGTGTGGAATCAAGCTGTAATCTAAATCAAATAAATAATATTTTTGTTGACTGTGGATTGGTCGATCAATTTGTAGACTTGACTGCTACACTTTTTATTGCATATGTAAAAATGCAGTTACCAACTCAAGTTAATCACACAACAGCCATCATGTAACAGGAAAAGTACTGGTTTACTGTAACAATGGCATCTTTTGTTTACTAAATGTGACAAAATTATTGTCTTGTTTGTTAAATTATATTTCTTTTTGACTTAAGTTCATCTAGGTGGGTACGTGTTTCTAACAACAAGGGGTATAGAACACGTTTTTGTTCTAAATACAAGTTTCGTTGTTAACAAAATCTTATCAGAGTATACTTCTGTGTAGTGTATTTCTAGATGTCAGTTGGATGTGTCTGTGTATTATTGTGCAAGCTAGTTGCTCAACTGTTATATACATTTATACTCTCGGCTATGAACTTCATCTAGGGCGTCAGTATCTGGCTGCTCAGTCATCACTGTGTGGAGTATAGCTTGGATCCATTCCATAGGTTCATTCAAGGCAGAGTGTGTAAACCGGTTGATCACTGATTTAGATATTATGTTAGGACTTTCCGTGAAATGTGAGTACAAAGTAACTGCTTTAAATCCCGTAACAGCCTGCTGTAATTTACACAATTCGGCAGCTGTCATATTTTGTAATCCGTCGTTCCTTAATCTTTATGTTGAGGTTTTTAAATTTTACCATTGATGATCTGAATATCAGAAAATAAGTTCGTCCGAAGAAATAGGCAATATCAATGGACAGCGGTTTGGTGAAATCGTCACTGTCATCTCTCGTGATCAATTTTATTGCTACCTATCGTATCTAGTTTTCGTAATCACCCGTTTGAGGTATTAGTTAAGGTGATACAAAATGCAGCAAACCTGATTAAATAAGTTAATGGGTCAGGGTTAGTTATGCGTATATTTTGCTTGTTTTAAATATCGATTTTCATTGGCCTTATAAGGTTTTCAGTGGGCACATGCGTCATTTCCTCACCGTAAGGTTTGTGTTGTAACTGTCACTTCACTGAAGGTCTGGAGCCTAAGAACCTACGCTCCTGTTAGAGCTTACAGTTAATTATTTTTTGAGGGACCTTAAACGGATACTATATGGCTCAACCACTCTTGTTAGCGGAAGTAAAGTCATCTTAATAGACTGATTTTCTGATTAGAAGCTTTGATTGACTTGATGTGGTTCTGTTATACAATTCTAATTGCAGGTTTTCTCTTCAGGATGAATTTAAATTAATGCCCCGTTTGACAAATATAGTTACGTTGGCACCTGTGCTGTTTTTGTGACTAACGGTTACTGTATGGATGTAGGATGTAGCATAAGTTACTTTACAGCTTTTGCGTACATTGTATGTAAACCACTGTAAACTAACTAGTTTTTCATATACTTAGTTCTCGTGAAAGTTTTATATAAGAAACAAATGCCCTTAAAATCAAAACAGTATTCGCATTTGTAGCTTGGTAAATGTCTTTTGTTGCCCGCGGTATGGTACAGAGTACACTTTTAATCCTAGTTGAGACTCGTCGGTTGGCAGCCGTTGTTGGAGTCTGCACACTTTTGTCTACTGAAAATTAACAGAAAGTTACAAGTATCAAACGGTAAAACGTTTATAATTATCAGTAGTAAACTAGAAAATAAGTGTACATACTCAGTAAAAAGAAATAAGTAGGCTTTAGCACATTCTGCAGATAAAGTGTTAATAAAGAATACTAAGTTATTCGAGATTTTGACCACGGATTAATACCAGTGTTTCTGTGACTGATGTCAATCTGTGGTAAAAATCTTGAAACAGATCAAATCCCTACAAACAAATTCTTGCAAAGTAAGTTTTTTGAAGCCAACAGATTTAATGCCATGCTCCATTTTGTTTCCAAAAAGAGTAGGAAACAGTTACTAAGGCTTTTCGATCACAAACGTCTTGTCGTAACTTCTCACTATAAAGTGAGGCAAAGTTTCGATACTGATTATTTGAAATGCATTTATATCATGTCATTTGTGCGCCAAAGACCGAATTTGAGGTATTGAATGAGGTATAAAAGAGTAATCTTTCTGTCTTGCAAATTACCACTAGAGAGGGTTGTTTGCAGATCGCTTTTCATTCTGGAACATCTGTGAGGACTCATCATGTTCATAATTCTATGATTGAAGGGACGTATGAAACAGATAACTACATGTCCTTTAAACTTCCAGCTTTCGTATGAGAAGGATGGAGAGTTGGCTAGAAAGCTGTGCACAGTATGTTGAAAAGTAGTTAATCTTGCGTACGGTAGCATTACACTTGCTGTCTCTAATCAAGACAAGACAAATGTACTATTCTGGAATTGCTTAAGAATGTCAGCGATGAGTTGTTGTCTAATTGAACCAAAGTTGTAGCTACTGTATAAGAATCGAGATAGATTGTTAGTCACCTCATCCTATAAGAAAGGGGACAAGTCTTCCTGTTGTACCCAATGTGGTTTACCTTGACTAATCTAGTATCTAAGATTCAAGGACTTATGGTGATCAGTAGGTTATATTAGTCTGAGAAGGAGAAGCAAACGAAAACCAGGTTTTCAAGCCTGATCAAGGATGCAGTGATCAGATTGTCACCCTTCGACAGGTCCTGGAACACAGACATGCTGATGTCAAGTACTAATCGTATTTTGAATTTTTAGGCAGTACTTCACCCCCAACGACTGAAAGCTGTGGGGCTGTTTTACTGTAGAGCAGAAACTGAAGAAGCGCACTGTGATATTCAAAGCACTTCACTGGAACTCATGCATCCATGTAAGAGTTTATTGAGAGTTATCATCTGAGGTGACAAGGATTAGTGGCGTCTGTCAGTGATTTTCATTTTAACTGTTCTTATTTAAATTCAGTCTACGTCTATGTCAACGAAATGTCTGTTGGTTCCAGAGCATACAGATAATACAGAAGATTCAGGGTCTCCAGGACATTTCGAGCAATAGTTTTGATGTGCAACGTGCTCTTCGTCCCTGTTAAATGTAAGGTGTTGCTGCAGGACTGTTTTGCATCGACTCTTGGTTTAAGGACATTGCTAACAAAATCTAAGCATAGACGCAAAATTCTTGTTTGGCGTTTTCCCACTTGCTTCATTTCTAAGCGCAGATGTGTTATCCGGATATTTGACAAAAGGAATGTGTGCTATGCAACGATTTGCTTCATCTTACTCTATAACTGAGATATGTCTATTAAAAGTTGGAAATATGAAACTATCGATTTTTGGTCATAGGTACTCTGTTCAGTTTCGTATTAGGTGGAGTGATATGAGTAGTAACAATAAAGTTCGTGTTGAATTGTTAGGCAGAGTGGAAATTAATCGACGAGGCTATAAAGTTCTATCGATTTAGTTAAGTAGGACATTATCATACTGAATCACCGCCTTCCTGATAAGCAGTCTTAGGTGGGATGAAAACATGTTAGAGGTGGCCAAATGGTAACATGGCGCTGGTTCATAAAGTCATTCATTTCTAGTTCGAATCACTCAAGGGAATTTAGACTGTTTTGTGGAGTTTTCGGGATCAGTGGTCAGATAATTTTGGTAATATGGCTCGAAATCGTTCACAACGGTGCTGATGTGTTTACCCTTTGGAGCTTTTTAATAACATTCATATAATTATTCTCTCGTTTAGAGCAGCATTTCATTTTCGCTATTTATGAGTGTGATTTTTCGAAGATTTACTTTCGTGGAAAGTTTCATTCCGATAAGGTTAGTCAGCTGCATTCATTTTCACGTAAAAATGGCCACAAGATAGTTATTATCTTTTAACAATGCAAAATCGAAATGTCATGGTCACTAAAACTGTATTAAAGAATGTGTGAATTTCACTCAGTAGGTAACACCGTTTTAACTCGAAAGAATGTCCCATTCAAAAATACTTATTGCGTATGAATTCCTTCATTTTATTCAATAAAACAGAGAATTCACTGATATTTGGAAATCTCTATAAACGAAGTTCATGACGTTCGGTGATCACAACTTTCACTCCTGTGATATCTTAGACAGTTCGAACTCATATAAGACTAAGTATATTATGAGCTGTTCAGAAAGGAGTAAGTTGAGTTGTTCTCAGGTGATAAATTCTTTATACGAAGCTTTATTCAGACCACCTACTGTTGTATTTGGTCGCTTGAAGAAATGCTCTCGTTAACTGTCTTCTCTCCTGAGGTGTTTTAGGAGCTGTTTTTTAATGCTCTTTACGGTCAAATGAAGAAGACTTAATGTTTCTAGACAGCTGTGTTAGTTGGTGTGAGTGTGTCACATTAAATTATCTACTATATACTGAAATAACAATCCAGTTCACTTTTTTTGGCATATGATTAAAAGTTTAACTGTATGTTGTTGGTTGTATTGACAATTCTCCTAAACGTGACATTTTTCTGCCCAGTATGTTACACTCTTTTACTCTTGCCATATGTAATGAGTTGTA